ACCCCGTCCAGGAACCGCCCAAGCCGACTAGCCAGCCCAACGTTGACGACGAGGAGGACGCAGATCTGAAGGCGGCCATCGAGGCATCGCTTCGTGACATGGAACAGCATAAACAAAAGCACGCAGCTGCATTAAAAAATACCACCCGGGTTGAACCTTCCTCGTCCCAAGATACCCCGAACGCCACCCCTTTACCCAAAAACCCATATGAGCTCAGCCCTGTCGAGGTTGAGAATATTCACCTCTTCGCTACTCTGGTTGATCGATTGCAGCATCAGCCACCAGGGACCATTCTTCGAGAGCCTCAGATCCAGGAGTTGTATGAGAGCATCGGTGCTCTTCGGCCTAAATTGGCTCGGAGCTACGGTGAGACGATGAGCAAACACGGTACGTCACTAACGAGGCTTTGATAGTTGTTAATATTGACCGAAATACAGACACATTACTTGACCTGCACGGCAAGTTATCTACAGTCGTTCGGTATTATGATCGTATGCTGGAGGAACGCTTATCCAGTGCATACGCGCAACATTCGCTAGGGTACGGTGCAGTTCCAGGGAGCTCCCATTATCCCAGTGTGTATCCGCCGATGCCATCTCAGGCCCCAGAGGCAAAGACTGGAGTGGAAAACTTCTACTATGGCAATTCGTCTGCGGAGCAGCCGCCACTTTCTGGGACACCATACCCTCAGCAACCGGAAGGAGATAGTTTCGAGAGAACCGCAAAGCGCAGCAATACAATTAGCCCCAGCATGTACCCGCAACAAACTCAGGCAATGCCTCAGCATCCACCTTGGAATGGAACCACGCATATTACATCTCCTCAGCTTCCCACGGCCAATATGTCTTTCCCCCAAAGCCCCTCGGCATACCCTGACCCCGCCGCACCGACCCAGTTTTACACCGCACCTCCTCAATTTGACCAAGACACGAGGTCGTATCAAGCTCCTGGGCAAGGGGAGGCAAATGCACCTTATCTGCCATCGCCTATCACTCCGCACGAGTCCCAATACCAGCAAGCAGGACCCCCCACGGCCCCGGCGCCGAGTGTACCAGAGCAACCACCGTCGGTTGAACAAATGCCGTCTTCTGCTTACTTACAGTTATCTGAACCACATCCCATGCAACATGGAAGTCCAGTACTTCATCGTCAGCCTACCGAACCATCGGCCCAGTCATACTACTATCAACAACAACCTCCGCCTGGAGCACTGCAATCCACCTACCCCCAGAGGGCACCAGCGCACCATGGTGCATACCCTGTCCACAATGCCTCTCCGGCAGCAGGGGCTACACCTCCGGTGCAATACCAACAACCGACCCCGTCCAAACCGGTAGTTGAGGAAAGTTTGATTGAATTGTAAGAGACGGAGGGTGATGATCTTTTTTACTTGACGAGGCATGGAACTTTGCTTTTAAATATAATTTCCTTAGCAATGGATTTATTCGCAGTGACAATTATGATACCAGTTGTTTTAGGTTGTTGGCAAGCCGCAAATTGACTGTACTAAAATGTTCTTAGATCTGATAACCGAAAGTGGATAACATTGGAAATGGTTTATAGTTGAGTGGGACACGCTGCCAATGAATAATGCGGGGAAAGCTTGGATTTGCGGGAAAAATGCCGACGTTTGACATGGATTCACCCCCACGTTGGGCGCCCCCACGTCGATTTTCCGGGGAAGAGCGTGGAGTTGGAGATGGCTGGCGTCCCTTGTCATTTGTTGTGATTAGTAGAAGTATTATTCCCTGGTTGTTGTCGACGACCGTTGGATGATCCAAGACCTTCCCAACCCGCAAACAAGACACGATGCGATTGAGTCGCGCCGAAGTAGAGAGTCACAGCACCAAAGCATCTTGCTGGGTTGCAATCCATGGCTCTGTTTATGATGTGACTGGTCCGTTGGTTCAAAGGCAATGTCAAGGCTTTCAGGAGACAACCCATTAAGTTCTAATCTCTCATAGACTTTATTGATTCTCATCCCGGGGGGCCTAATGTCATCCTGCGTTGCGCTGGGAAGGATGCTACAGAAGACTTTGACTCCGTGCACGATAAAGAAACTTTGACGCAGTCATTGGCCCCATCATCTGTTGTCGGGCACGTCGAGCCAGGAGCACTGGCAAAGTCTAGTGACCCCCCAAAGGGTACAGCACCAGCAGAAAATTCCAATCTACCTCCTCCATTAGGCAGTTTACTCAACCTGTTTGACTTTGAAAAAGTGGCCCAACAGCACTTGCCCCCAAATGCATGGGCATATTACTCCTCTGGTGCTGAGGATGAGATCAGCAAACGGCAGAATTCCAAAGCTTTCCAGAAAGTGTCACTTCGGCCACGGATTCTTCGCAACATTCCTGCAGTGGACACGACTACGCACATCCTTGGAAAGTCAGTATCTTTACCGATCTACATGAGTGCTACTGGCATTGCAAAGCTTGCTCATCCCGACGGAGAGCGTGCCCTGGGAGCGGCTGCAGGGAAAGAAGGATTGGCACAGGTGCTTGCGAATGGATCCAGCGTCCCGATTGAAGGTGTCATGAATGCGCGTACACACCCGGAGCAGCCGGTATTCTTTCAGCTGTATGTTAACCGGGATATCAAGAAGTCTGAAGAGATGGTTCTGCGAGCGGACCGCGCTGGTGTGGGTGCCGTCTGGGTGACAGTTGATTCCCCGGTTGTCGGAAAGCGGGAGATGGACGAGAGGTTGAACCTCGAGGTTCAGGTTAGTATGGACTTTCTTGTGCGAGACAACCTGAGTGCTAAAATGCTGGCTATTTAGGCGAGGGATAATCCATCTACTCAGGGACAAGGTGTTGCCAAAACCATGGCTAGCTCCATCTCTCCCTTTATTGATTGGAGCATCCTTGAATGGTTGCGAGGACTCACACAGTTACCCATTGTCATCAAAGGAATTCAATGTGTTGAGGATGCCGTACAGGCGTATCACTGTGGGGTCCAGGGCATCGTTCTTTCGAACCACGGAGGGCGATCACAAGATACGTATGTCTATCTGACCCCTAGAGAGCTAACGTGGGACAACTATATAAATGCCTACTGACAATAATAGCGCTCAATCACCTCTTCTCACACTACTCGAGATTCGACGTTACGCCCCCTTTCTCATTGAAAGTGAGATGCAAATCTTCCTCGATGGGGGGATCCGACGGGGAACTGACGTCCTGAAAGCCGTGGCTTTGGGGGCGACCGCTGTAGGATTAGGTCGGCCAATGCTGTATGGGCTCGCTGCAGGCTATGGTGAGCAGGGAGTTCGGCGAACAATTGAGATCTTACGACACGAGATAGAGACCAACATGGTGTTTCTGGGGGTAAAAAGCTTGAAGGACTTAGGGCCTCATCTCTTAAATACGGCTCGACTGGAAAGAGATGTAGTTGGATCGGTGAAGTTGTAGGTGTATACTACCAAGACATAGTGTGTTAGCACCCAAAACAATTAGCCTGAAGTTAGCCCAGAGATCATCATTTCAAGCGTTAGAAAAGTCCAACCCAGTTAATGTGAACCCCCACGCTCCTCGTCGGCTTTCAACCCGAACCCCGCATGAAATAGTTTCTACTTTAGTGCCATCACTTCACCATGTCCCTGCTACACGCCAGTCAACCCTTATCTGATTTTCATTGTAGATTTATAGAATGGGGGAGCAAATTGAAGTTCTTCTCTACGGCCTAGGAGCGTATGGTTCTTCTATCCTTCCATTGAGAGCCACTGACTGATACACATTTCCAGCATTGGTTCCTTCTATGCTCTCATCCTGAGCCGCTCAGACCGAGTGCACTTGACAGTGGTGGCGCGATCAAACTATGACGCTGTCAAGGAGAATGTACGTTAACTCTTACCGAAGACGTGACAAGGTAAGACACTAACCCATTCATATTCAAGGGCATCTTCATCGACAGTGAGAACCACGGACAGCACACCTTTCGCCCTCACCATAGTAAGTCGTCATGACTTACTCAAGCCCACAATATCTGACAACCACAGTCGTCAAGTCCCCCGACGAGGTGTCCGGTCCATTCGACTACGTTATATGCGCCCATAAAGCCATCGACCAGGAAGCAGTAGCGTCCCGGCTGCAGCCCGCCATCAACGAGGACACCACCATCGTGATCATCCAGAACGGAGTCGGCAACGAGGAGCCGTTTCGCAAAGCATACCCCAAGTCTTCAATTATTACCTGTGTGGTGCGTTCAGAATCGACCGTATATAACTAGCGACAAGGTACTGACAAACGAACTTAGACATGGGTCGGCGCGACGCAGACCTCACCGGGCGTTGTAAAGCACACCAAATCAGAAGATATGGAGATCGGCCTCTTCCCCAATCCATCGGTGGACCAGCCGGTCGAGCAGAGCCGGTTGACTACGTTTGCATCTTTACTGGAAGGAGGTAACACCCGGTGCCAGATCCTGGAGGATATGCAGCGACGGCGCTGGGAGAAGGTCGTCTGGAACGCGGCCTGGAATACCCTCACTACGCTTACGCTGCTTGATACCCAGTCGTGGCTTCACTCCAGCAATGACGCCATCCCGCTCACGCGCCGCTTGATGCGCGAGGTCATTGATGTCGCGCAAAAGTGTGGCGCTTCCTTGGAGTATGAGCTCGTTGATGAGCTGATGGATAGGATTAACTCGTTGCCTGGGATTGGGAGTAGCATGCAGACGGACTTTAAGAACGGGAAGCCGCTGGAGGTCGATGTGATTGTGGGATTTCCGAGTAAGAAAGCGAGGGAGTTCGGGTTGGAGACGCCTGTGTTGGATACGATTAGTGCGTTGACGCGGGCTGTGGATGTTCGATTGCGGTCATCTTGAGGATTTGTCTGCAATTGTTATTGTTTACGGTGTCTATTAGATGTCTACTAAGGACAAATACGGACATTGGCAGGATCAAGAAGACAAGATAACGTTAGAAAAACACCTATTGTATATAAAAATCGAGGACTATAAGAGCAAGCAGGGTAAACAGGAGGGCAAAAAATACAGCCTATGTTAGGTCGTACCCGGGTTCGAACCGGGGACTAAGGAATGTTTAGTCATCAAAATCCTTCGTGCTAACCACTACACTATACGACCGTGGGAATGACGTCGATAGCACTTTTAATGGCCTATGACCCTAGTCAAAAATTGCTATACAGACTTGTATAGAACCCCTCAGATCCCCGCATTGCCCCTAGTCTAAGAATATCACTACGCGAGCATGGATGAGAGCGGTCTGAGAGAAAGTAACCATCATAATATACTGCGATACCATACAACCTAGTTACCACTCCCGAATCCCCCCATCAGGCCCATAGAATTCCTTAGGAGGCCACGGCTCAGTCTCCGCACTGATCTGCCTCACCAGCGACTCATTGATCTCAATTCCCAACCCAGCCCCCGACGGCGCCTGAACATATCCCTCCTGTATCCCAAATACCGCCTGGTCCACTAGATAAGTGTTCAGGTCAATATCCCCAGCTTCAACATTATAATGCATCCCGAGCGACATCTCCTGGATCACGAAATTGGGCGTAGCCAAAGCCACCTGGATAGACGCCGCCAGCGCTATAGGTCCTAGCGGACAATGCGGCGCAATCGCCACGTCGTACGTCTCGGCCATGGACGCAATCCGCCTCGTCTCCGAGATGCCCCCCGCATGCGCAATATCCGGCTGCAACACATCCACCGACGCATCCTCTAGGAACCGCTTCGCGTCCCAGCGCGTGTATAGCCGCTCCCCGAACGCAATCGGGATGGTGGTCATGTCGGAGAGCTGCTTGATCGCTTCGGGGTGCTCGCAGAGGAGAGGCTCCTCGATGAAGAGTGGTCGGTGCGGCTCGAGCGCCTTCGCCAGCTGCTTGGCCATGGGCTTGTGCAGTCGTCCGTGGAAATCCAGTCCCGCGTCAAGACCCAATGCCTTGACTTGCTTCAGGCGCTCCACGCACGAGTCAATCGCCGACGGCGAGTCCAACCAGTTGAGGTCCTCGGTGGCGTTCATCTTGACGCATTTCAGCCCCTGCGCTATCCTCGCCTTCCTATTGCATATTAGCTTCTCACCCAGCATCTCTATCCCCAACGCAGAAACAAGAAGAACTCACGCAGCAACCTCCACATCACTAGGCCTGTCACCCCCGATCCACGCGTAGACCTGCACCTTCTGTCGCACCTTACCACCTAACATTTGATACACCGGGACCCCGAGGACCCGTCCCTTCAAATCCCACAGCGAAATATCAATCCCCGACAGCGCCGACATGAACACAGGTCCGCCGCGGTAAAACCCAAGTCTCCAGACTAGTTGCCAGATATGCTCGATATCACTGCATACATAGCCATTAGCCACATCCACAATTAAACACAACCACCACAACATAGCAAACCATCACATCCACCCCAACAATAATAAAAGAAAGAAAGGAGAACAGAAAAGAACATACTCAGCTTCACACCCCACAACCCGAGCAATAATCTCATCCAACGCCCCCTCCACAGCCTGCGTATGTCCCTCCAACGTACCCTCCCCCCATCCAAACCGTCCCTGCTCATCCGTCACCTTGACGAATAGCCACCGCGGCTTGACCCGGAAGTATTCAATGGATTTGATCTTCGCCATGGTGTAGTTTTATTGATTTATGTCGATTGATTGATGGATGGGTCAATTGAGAATATTCATCAGTTGATACTTGGTCCTTAGTACTACTAGTAGTGTATTTATAGTAGTGTTGCTATATAAATGGATGTCGTGTTAACCCCCCATTCTCCAGGTTCCCCGCGTGGGGGTGAAGACACCCCACGTTGTTTTATTGGAGAAATGGAGCCTGGGCCTTTACTTAGATCCATTGATTGATCTTATTTGGGTATCTTGTTGGTTGGGTTTCTTTGTATGTGTTCTGGATCTAGCCCTATACTAGTAGAGTCGGGTGCAGTGTCAAACATTCGCTCAGTATATATAAGTATGTTTAATAACTTGTAAATGAACAAATCATTAAATAGGTATATACAATAATCAATAAATATATCTAAAATTCAAATTTTCCTTGTCTGTCAAATCACTAAACGCCGTCCGATCCAACTCCTCCCTCCTCGTCTCCTCCCCCTCATCCCCCCTAATCCCCTGGATTCGATCCCTAACCCGATTCTCCCAAGCCAGCAACACCCCCAGCAGCACCACCAGCGCAATCTCCACGAAGTTCGCCACGATCATCGACCATATGCCCAGCGGGTACCGGGGCGCCTGGTCCCCCCTGTAAAAGAAGGGGCCGGCGATGTTGCCCGCGCAGACGCCGATGAAGATCATGGCGTTCGTGACGACCTTCTTCGTGTGCCCGGCGATGTTGGCCGTGAGGATGGAGAGGATGAGCACGAAGGAGGCGTTGTACGAGCCTGTCAGGTAGTAGCTTATTAGGCGGCCGATTTGGTTTTCCTCGGGGAGGTAGCAGAGGCCGAAGGAGCCGGCGAGGTTGGGGAGGAGGAAGAGGATGGTTACGAGGCATCTGTTGTTCTTGGGGAGGCGGTCGTTTATCCATATGCTTAGGAGGATCATTAGGGCTATGAAGGCGCCGTAGGGGATTTGCATTAGGGTTGTTATCACTTTTTTTGTTTTATTTCGGTCAGTTATTGTGTATGAGAGGGGTAGGTTGAGAAGGGGGAGTACAGGTTGAGAATCCGAAGCCTTTGAGGATTAATGTTCCGAAGTTGGAGATGCCTCCGTTTGGGATATTTCCTGATAATCCGAGGAGGAGAAATACCCACACCTTCCAGTCGAGGAATGCTTCTCGGATCTGGGCGGGTTTGAGCGTCTTGTTCTCGACGCCGGTTTGGTTCTCTCGGAGTCGCTCGACTGCTAGTCGCTTCTCTCGTGGGGACAGGTACCGGGTGGTGACTGGGGAGTCGGGCAGGAAGAAGATGATGACGATGCCCCAGAAGGAGCAGAGAGCTCCGATGATCAGGAACTCGTATTTCCAGGAGGACAGCGCGCCTTGGATATGCCCGATGCCGTAGCCGAGGAGGCCGCCGATGGCGATGCCGAAGCCGTTGGCTGTGTACCAGAGCCCGATGCGGATGGGCTGCTGGCGGCGGGTGTACCACATGCTGGTTATGAGCATGAATGCCGGGTCACTGGGTTGTTAGGGCTTGTGTATGTGTGGTGTAGGGGGGGTGTTACCTGCATGCTTCTGCGGCGCCGGATATGACTCGTAGCACGGCCAGTTGGACAAAGTTCTTTGCGGCGGCTGCTGTTGTCAGATGGGGGTGTTTGTGTTGGAGCTAGACCGTACCTTGTAGCATGAGAAAGAAGCCCCAGAGGAAGATGTTCACTCCTAGATACTTGCCGATCGGGAACTTTTGCATCAGGAAGTTCGTCGGAAGGGCCCATACCTGTGTTGGATCAAATTAGCAAGTGTGCATTAACAACAGCGTATGAACTCAGACATACCAGGAAACCAAAGTAGAAAACACTCGACAGCCACGAGTACTGCTCCCCCGACAGCCCCAAATCGTCATTGATGCCAAATATCGCCGCATACGACAGCGTAGTTTTATCAATCTGTACCCATCTGAGCATACTAGTACCCACAACATCACAAAATTAGTACTTACATAGTAAAAGGCATAGCAGACAGCCAGAAACGGGAGAATCATGAAATCAATCTTCTGGACAAGACGCTTCATCTCGGCTGGGTCGACATCTTCGTGCAGGTCTTCGAAGTTGTCGAAGAGAGCCAGCGCAGTATCTCCATTCTTGATCTTCCCTGGCTGTCCTGGGATAGCCTCAACATGCGCAGCGGATGGTTTGTTACCTCCCTGTTCAGCTGGCTGGGGAGATGGGGCTGGGTGTTCTGTAGTCATTGTTACGGCGTATGTTGTGGTATGCTGCTGTTCTTCGGGGGACCTCGAGGTGGCATGAGAGGCACCGGGATTTATTCTCTCTCTCCGTCCCCCTTGCTAACAACTTAATGCGTCTGTATATGCATGACAATATACTACTAGAATGACGTCCAGTGCTCATAGTTGTGCCAAGGGCGTGGGGGCCTGTCAAAACACGAAAACCTGGGGAAGTGGACTTTTCTCCGCATTTTATTTGCGGGGGAAGAATTCGCTGATCGGCACAAGTGGTGCGCATTTTTCACATCGGCTCCGTGGGGGTGATATAATTGATTCTAGCTATTGGGATGTACGCTGTACTATTTTGTACATACTCCGGAGTAGAAGCCATGTGTTTATATTTATGGAATTAGATTTGTAACATTAGTAAACCTAACCTTCTATAATATGTATAGTCTATACTTTGTTAAAAGTTCAACACTCTAGTATGTCTACATTTTTGTATATAAGATCTCGGATTATCGACTAATTCAGTACTGAGAGTAGTCGGATCTATATAGTTTCAAAACTCTTATAGGGTTAACAACTTGATTAGGTCTATAGATTTCTTGTATGTTTCGGGAACTAGTCAATCTCTGAAATTCAGAAAGAAATTTGTTCATGAATGTAAATGAGATAAAATTCATTTGACGCTTAGTAATTAAGCTATAGAATGCGTGGGGGTTCAGTTGCACCGTAAAGTGCGGTCGAGTATATAACTCGCAGGATAGCTCTGTTGATCCTCCACCCGACATGTGGATGTATCTACTAGATTAGTATTTTGAAGTTTCAAACACAACCTGTGCAAACTCCATGTTAGATCTTTTTTCACTTGCGGGCAGAACTGCCCTCGTCACCGGCGGAACTCGCGGCATTGGGCAGCAGATGACCATTGCCTTGGCTGAAGCTGGTGCCGACATTGTTTTGATCCAGGTAAGAGATATTAACATCAAAACAAAAACTGGGAGAGAACTGAACCATCACATAGAGAGATACCAGTAACCAAGAAACGAAGCAGAAAATCGAAGCCATCGGTCGTAAAGCCTTCATCTACACAGCTGACCTCTCGTCCCGGGTTGCCGTCAAGACATTAGCCTCCACAGTTCTACAAGATGGACACGACATCAACATCCTTCTAACCTGTGCGGGGATCCAACGGCGACACCCGAGTCATCTTTTCCCCGACCATGATTGGGATGAGGTACGAGTCCAGCGATGGAAAAAAAAAGTAG